AGCAGGATCTTGGTGGGTAACCACCAGCCACGGGTAGTTGAGATGGTGGTGGAGCTGAACGTGTCAGAGAACGTCTTGGAATTGCCGGAGAACGTCTTGGAATTGCCGGTGGCAATCGTGCCCCGCTGTAGCCACTGTCACATTAGCAGCCTTGCTAGCGTTCGGCCTTCGACTGCTTGAGTGTGGCAATGATTCATGTCTCGTTGATATGGAGACGAGGCAAGGAAATAGAAAGGCAGATAGACACAGAAACAGACAGAAAAGCAGACAAACAGACACAAAACAGACAGACAGACAAACACACAAACAGACAGAGAATTCAGGGTCAGCCGGGTAAACACTGCCGAAGCAGAATGTTGGCGGAGCCAAGTATCTACAAGAGTCTGCGTCCGAGGGACGGCGACCGAGGGCCCTGAGTAAAGAGAGGGGTCACTGCCGGAGCAGGATCTTGGCAGGGCCAAGAGAGAGGTCAGACAAGAGTAATACGTAGACACTGCCGGAGCAGAATGTTGGCGGAGCCAAGTATCTACGAGAGAGGATTCAGGGTCGGCCGGGTAGACACTGCCGAAGCAGAATGTTGGCGGAGCCAAGTATCTACAAGAGTCTGCGTCCGAGGGACGGCGACCGAGGGCCCTGAGTAAAGAGAGGGATCACTGCCGGAGCAGGATCTTGGCAGGGCTAAGAGAGAGGTCAAACAAGAGTAATACGTAGACACTGCCGGAGCAGAATGTTGGCGGAGCCAAGTATCTACGAGAGAGGATTCAGGGTCGGCCGGGTAGACACTGCCGAAGCAGAATGTTGGTGGAGCCAAGTATCTACAAGAGTCTGCGTCCGAGGGACGGCGACCGAGGGCCCTGAGTAAAGAGAGGGGTCACTGCCGGAGCAGAATCTTGGCAGGGCCAAGAGAGAGGTCAGACAAGAGATATACGTAGACACTGCCGGAGCAGAATGTTGGCGGAGCCAAGTATCTACGAGAGAGGATTCAGGGTCGGCCGGGTAGACACTGCCGAAGCAGAATGTTGGCGGAGCCAAGTATCTACAAGAGCCTGCGTCCGAGGGACGGCGACCGAGGGCCCTGAGTAAAGAGAGGGATCACTGCCGGAGCAGGATCTTGGCAGGGCCAAGAGAGAGGTCAGAGAAGGGTCACTGCCGGAGCAGGATCTTGGCGAAGCCAAGAGAGGGGTCACTGCCGGAGCAGGATCTTGGCAGGGCCAAGAGAGAGGTCAGAGAGGGGTCACTGCCGGAGCAGGATCTTGGCGGAGCCAAGGGAGGAGTCAGAGAGGGGGCACTGCAGAGAGAGATCTTGGCGGAGCCAAGAGAGGGACGAGGACAAAAAGCCCCCTGGGTAGCTAGGCATTGAATGTGTGTGGATTGAGACAGCATGTGGTAAAGAGGACACTGACAAGAGTTCAAGCAACACGGATGAGAACCAGTAAGACAGTTACCTTGATGATCTCCTTCGCGGTGTCCCTCATTTCATGACGGATAAATGCTCGTGCAGCAAAGGGAGCTTGCCCAAATAGAAGGACGAACATTGCTGCGGTGATTGGCTAGACCATGGTGTCAGGTCGCGCCGCAGCTGTGGGAGCAAAGGTTCTGGAGTCATCCAACTTGGTCCGGGCACGGAGCATCGATGGTATTGGAGGTGACTGGCAGGTGTGATGCTCGAAACAGTAAGTAGTACTGGACACAAGTAGAGGGTGTAGATGAGTGCCATGACCAGAGAAGAACTGAACGGCTTGTGCCAACCTTCAATACGTTGACAGAGTCTGGTGCCACCAGCTCAGGGTCGTCCTTGACTGAGGTTGAGAGGTGCAGCATTCTGTGAGATGAACTCAGATGTGGCCTTGACAAGGTCAGACAGGCAGGGCATAATAACGTACGGGTGGGTAGCGAATGTGAGTTGGCCTAGAAGGCAGGCGAGTTCGTGCTTGAGGACGCAACGCCTGTCAGTGTGGCAGAGACTAAATGACGTCGGGCCAGAGAGGTTGAGGTTATACTGGAAAACTACATAAATGGTTGGACAAGAGTGGCCCAAGCAAATCTGCTGTTGGACTGAACACTTGAATACTTGCAACACGTCAATTGCTGGTTATACACACTGGTTGGGATGGCAGTGTGAACTGCAACAGTGTTAACCCCCATACTAACTGGAGGAGACTGCAACAGCATGGGCATAAGCCAGCCTGTGAGTACGTGGGTGGTGCACCTCGAAAGTGACAGGCACTAGCACCAGATTGATTGATGCACTATGGATGTGTGTGTGTGGGAGTTCCTTACCCCACCAATGACAAGTAGACCAAGTAATAGCAGTACTTGATGGATTGATGACAGGGCTGTGCCTGGGTGCAGATGGTCGAAGCATGCTCCAAGTATGTACACAGTACTGAGTAACTTGGTGTGGAGTTGCATAGCCTGGGGTTGCAGAACTTACTTTGAAGAAGAAAGATAGATTATCGCTGGCAAACAGTTCCCTTCTGGCAATGCTAGGGCCAGTCGCTGGCAAACAGTTCCCTTTTGGCAATGCTAGGGCCAGGGCGTTGTAAACTCTTGGCCAGCACAATGCCTAGCCCAAACGACTGCATGGGGCTAAACGGTTGTGTGTTAAATGGACCAGCTGTCATACCGTCCTTGCAGCAGCGTTGGAGACAGTCAGAAATACATCAGCTGCCACAGACTGGGCTCAATGATGTCCCACTTCAGTGATGGGTCGGCAGCAGCCTTGATGCGGAAGTGACAGGACAGCAACTCCACTATCCTGTGCGAAGCAATGTCGACCATGATCTGGACCAAGACGGTGAAGGCCTCAACCCATGTCGCAAGATCATGAACATGCCTACTCTTGCTGGGAGTAACGCTGACTCGCGTTCTCTGCTGCCTGCTCCGCTCACCGCGCTCGGGGTAGAATGGCAGGATTCAGCGTGGTGAAGCTGAAACAGGCGATCGGCGAGGAATTATTCAAACCGAAGAGCGAGCAAAATACAAACTGTGAAAACACTGAAACAGGTAACCTGGCTCATGATCGTGTAGGCTTCCACCCACGTCGCAAGGTCGTGAACGTGCCTGCTCTTGCCGCGGGCAGCGCCGTCCTCGACCACCCGCAACGGGCCCCCATCCGACGACTCTCAACGGAGCACGTTCTGTGTGCGGGCGTGCGGCACAGAGCAAGACACAGAGGGCAAGAGCTAACTCAATTCCACGAACTCACCCATCAAAATCCGCTCGCGATGTTTAGCTCCCAGGTGGGCGGCGAACGACTTGCTGCTACCTGAGCTGGCTGGGAGAGGAGTCGAGTTCGTATGACTATGAGGCAGAGAATCGGGAGCCATGGCCGCCAGAAGTGTTCTCTGTTGCCTGCTCTGCTCGCCGTGCTGTGCTCGCTGCAGACTCGCAGGGATCAGCGTGATGAACTTGGGCCTGAATCAGGCGATCAACGAGGGCAGCCGTCTGGCCCGAAGTATCCAAATCCAACGGCGAGAGTTTGCTGCGGAGACGCGGAACCGTCCTGGCGCGGATTTCGTCGTCAGTATAGGCAGCCATGGCGTCGCGAAAACAAGGATAAGAACGAGTCAAAGCACAACGGCGGCGAGGAGCGAATCAACTCACCAACTGTGAAACACTACGAGCAAACACAATGATCTGACAAGAGTGATCCGCTCACAGAACGAATCGAAATATAATACACACTACGAGCAAGGAAGAATGATTGTCGCAGAGAACGGATCGAAAATATATAGCAGAGCAAACTCTAGCAAGACATGCAACGATGCATGCCACCCACGTTAAGCTACGAGCAAGCGTCATCATAACGCAGCCACACGCCTTCCACATCGGAGGCGAGCGACACGCATGAACGCCAAACTTTAGTATGACACGTTGAGTGCCTACGACGCATGCCGCCTACGTAGAGCGTCGCGCATGAATGAATGTCGCGTTGAGTGTCACGTTGTATGACACATAGAATGCCACGATGCATAGAGTACCATGTGAGCACGTACAGCGCACGTTCATAGCAGCATAGTTTGAGTGGTAGCACGAAGCAGCCGCGTGCACCCATTAATCTGCATTATTACTATAATGCTACACACACACACACACACACACACACACACACACACACACACACACACACACACACACACACACACACACACACACACACACACACACACACACACACACACACACACACACACACACACACACACACACACACACACACACACACACACACACACACACACACACACACACACACACACACACACACACACACACACACACACACACACACACACACACACACACACACACACACACACACACACACACACACACACACACACACACACACACACACACACACACACACACACACACACACACACACACACACACACACACACACACACACACACACACACACACACACACACACACACACACACACACACACACACACACACACACACACACACACACACACACACACACACACACACACACACACACACACACACACACACACACACACACACACACACACACACACACACACACACACACACACACACACACACACACACACACACACACACACACACACACACACACACACACACACACACACACACACACACACACACACACACACACACACACACACACACACACACACACACACACACACACACACACACACACACACACACACACACACACACACACACACACACACACACACACACACACACACACACACACACACACACACACACACACACACACACACACACACACACACACACACACACACACACACACACACACACACACACACACACACACACACACACACACACACACACACACACACACACACACACACACACACACACACACACACACACACACACACATACACAGCAAGAGAGAACCATGCACACACTGATGTTACTACTGTACCAGGAAGGCCAGATAGATATGAGCGGCAAGAATAAAGTCCGGATCAACTGAAAAGTACGAAGAATGGAGTCTCAGCTCTCCCAATTTCTACCTACATAATGATTGTATGTATCCCAACATACCTGGCACACATCTTGTATCCACGTGGAGATGTGTAGAATGGTGGACTGTACAGGCTGGGTGTCTTGCCACTGATTGCTTCACGACGACGTCGAGATATGTCACCAATCTTCCACACCAGAACGCCGTCCATGGTCTTCACATCCACGATATCAAGTCGAAGGCTGAGATCGGAGAGTTGCACGTCTTGTACACCGATTGATCTGTGTGTGGACATGGAAGATTGAACAAACACAGAACCGGGTAGAGGTGTTTCACACGGATTCAGTGTCTTGGACAAGGAAGACAAGCCAGACAGACGGCAACACCCTACACAAGTATCCCTGCTAAGGGCTACAGAGGTCGCAGTAGTCGCAAGTATCCCTGCTTAGGACTACAGAGGTAGCAAGTATCCCTGCTTAGGATTCCTGGAATTAAGTAACAATAGCGTGTTAGCAAGCCCGGAGCTGCCTGGAAATACACTCATTGATGTTGTAATTCTGTTAGGCTATGAAGATGCTGCGTAAAATAGACCTCTGGACTGTGCTTCAACCAGAAACAAACACTTTTATTTGCATTCTAACATGTTCTTGTTTTGAAGAAGCTTGGTTGAGTGGAACAAAGACAGTTGAAAACAATGAGTTGACACACTTTATAGAAGTACATGTACGTACACTATTGCACGAAATAATCGACATCGTTTGTGCCTGACTCAGAGTCACTACATCGCTGGATTCCCCAAAGCCCAATTCACAATAATTAGGTCTTGGGTTGATCGAAGTAATACGTTACAAAAGTTTTGCTGTTTTGAGAGAAGCAGCTGGATGAGGATTGGCAGTGCATTGACACCGATCACTACTCTCTCATGCGTAGCTGACCGCCAGGACCAAGGAGAAACATGAGCATGAGAAACGGAATCATTCAAGTACAACGGGGTTGTATGCTGTATGAGAACCGTGAACGCCAACAAGGATGCCTGTTCTCATCCAACGCTCTCAACATGGGTATGTCTCTGAAACCGACAATTGCTGTGAGCGTGACTGACCTGGAGTTGTATTCAACAGCGGTTTGTAGCCTTTGGGTGTCTGACATGAGCTTTCTGAGGGCTTCTGCGTTCTGCAGATATTAAGGCAAACATAAACACACACACACACACACACACACACACACACACACAAGTCCAGCAACACCCACTAGTGGCTACATGCTCTGAATAGTTGTGTACTCTTGTGCGGCTATGCCAGCCATACAGCAGTGACAAACAACGTGACGAGTAACAATACCTTAGTACTCAGGTCGGATGACATTCCATCTGCATGGTCCGTAGCAGGAGAATCAGTTGCCGATGGCAATGAGGTTGCTTGGTCGTCTGATGCCTCACCAGCGACACCACGTCTGCCTTTATTGGCCACCGAGGCAGTGCTGATAGGCTGCATGGCGGCAATGGTACCCGCAAGCTCTCGCTCCAGACCTACATTCTACAGGACAGGATGTAACAAGCAAGAGCAGAAGAGACTACAGTACATTGCTACATGCTAACACCACCATCACCACCAATAGGGTGATAACGTAATTACGTATGGAAATAACGTAGGAAGTGCACATGATTTTCATACATAAAAACTACAAATCAGCGCTGTTGGGTTTCGCATTGCGTGATTTCTCCACAACTGTTTTAAAAGCATGCCTTGTTGCTTTGAAGGCTGCATGTGCCCACCGCATGCACCACAAACCGCTTTCCCATGCGTTTCCATTTTGTTTTCCACGTGGTGTGTACCTTGTGTTTCTGCGTGGCTGGAACATTGCGATGGATGAATCCTGAAAATGCGAAAAATATTTGAAAAAGTCCTACGGAAGAGCCAACACAGGAAAGAGCTTTCCTACGGAAATCCGTAGAGAGACTTACGTATGAAAGTTGCCCTCGCTCCCCGGCGGGTACGACATACGGATTTTCATACGTAATTACGCAGAGCGAAACCTCCCCATTGCCACCTCTGTAAAACGTACCGCTATGTTTAGAGGGCCGTCTGATGACGCCAACAATACATGGTTGTGATGTGTATTCCAAGGAGTGACTACTTCAGTACACAAGCTATGATTTGACACTCAGTGAAAAGCATACCATGATGTCATTCTTGCTACATCTGGATTACTGCAAGGTTATCAGAGTGATTTCCGTTGCAAAGACTTTTCTCAAATGGTCTTTAAGATTTGAACGTTGTTTTCATGTGATAATCATCAGAAATCTTCATCACACTGAGAGTTGGACTAGAAAGGAAAGATATTTATGGTACCATAAAGTGAACATTATAAGATCTAAAAAGTGTTTGCAATTGCATGATGATTCCTGCTTCAGTGTGGTGTGCTATGCTGGTAGTTTTCGTCTACTCTCCGTATTAGAAGCCATGTTTATTCGCACTTGTAACCCAGATTGATGGAAACAAAACGAAGTCGTTACAGCACTCACACTCTTCACTTAACATACCAACACTCACATACATACTTACATACATTTACCTTTCTCACCTGCACTTCTCCAACCTACACTTGCTTTCACACTGCTCGCTGCTCATGTAATCACGCCTTCAATAGTGCTAGCTTTGGAATATTAGCATTTCTTGTATTAGTTTTAGATCTAATAATGTTCACTTTGTGGTACCATAAATATCTTTCCTTTGCAGTCCAACTCTCAGTGTGATGATGATTTTTGATGATTATCGCATGAACATGACGTTCAAATCTTAATATTGTTCCATTGTTCTCGTGGTATGAGTGCGCTTCCTTTACTTTCATCGATATTAGGTTTATTGGCCACCTTATTCAAATAGGGTTTTCAAATGCAAGATCATCACGTGAAGCAACTTGCTGATGGGCAGGGCATGTCCCAGAGCAGAAGGCGTCGGCAGGAGTGCCTACACAGAGAGTAGAAGATGCCGCCTTGAGAGTTGCCGTGCCTGCAAAAGGCTACGCCGACAACAAGAAACAATGGAGCAAGTATCCTGTCGTTTGGAGACTCGTCGACTTCGTGAAAAGATGCGTCAACAGCAAGAGACCGCTGAACAGGCATCCAGTCGGCAGGAGAAAAGACGTAATCATGCCTGAACTTGTTCGGTGCGCAGTGACTGCGGTCCGTAGGCATAGGGCCGTCGCATTATCGTTCGAATGTTTTTGGGTGTTCTGCTAATGGGACGGGAATGTAGGGATCGAGTAGATTGCAGTGTTTCAATAGGCGCCTTTGTTGTACAAATAGAATGATGAGATGATTAACAGAGGACTATGAGGAAGAGCAAAATAACAGCTACGGTGACAGTGTTGAAGCTCTGAGTAGACGGCGTCGGAAGGAGTGCCTACACGGAGAGTAAAAGATGGGAGAAGAGAGGTCCCGCCGCCTCAAGAGTCGCCGTATTAAAACTGATCGTCTAAATGTGCATGGTTGTATTGCACAACTGTTTCCATCAGATCAGATCGATTAATATTCATGATGAGCTCGGCAAACAAGCATAGCGTAGGGTCCTGAGCTTCCAAGCTCTCTTGTTGCTTTATCAAAAATGTTGTCTCCGTGGCGTTTTTCATATATTCTCCTAGAGGAGCCATTCCTTAGGCTCCAGTCAGAATAGGGAAATGCAGAAGGCCGATAAACAGTTCACCGCGCTAACAGCATTGAACACAGCCCTTTTTCACTTCGTGAATACAGTAAATAGTGGATATAACGTGCCCCTTTGATTTTCGATAATTTATCACTATATCCGGTGCATCACTATAGCCGATTTGCATGTATGACTGACACATGGGACATGACTGTGCATGAAATGATGCGTACATGCTGGAAAAAGCATGAAAAGTAGCCACGTGTACGTGTGGCTGCTTACAGCATACAGGGAAGAATTTTCTCTCGATCACGTCTGCTGCCTGATGCATCCAGGCAACACTGGATCAGTTTTGGAGGAAGTGAACTATATTGGAAGAACACTTGTTTTGTGATCATCACTCTTGATCAGTATAGGCGATATTTTCCTGTGCATTTGATATGGTTTGCTTCCTGAAGCCCATCACAATAAGCGATATATCTGTATAGCCGATAATAGTGTGTATAGTGATATTTTAGCTGTATTTTTTTTGTGATTTGATTTTGATTTTGGCGAGTTCGATCATTATAGCCGGTATATCGTGACACCCGGTCACTTTATAAACGATACTCACTGTACAATAAATCAATTGAAAATGACTAAATTCTGCCGTGATCGACCTTCTCTCACACAGCGCTAAGCAGAAAGTGCATCATCACTGCGCTGATCGCTATGGCAACGTGAGCATACAATCGGCAATTTGGCAAGTCTGGCTTATCGTATACAAGCGAGAGATATGCCATTCGAACCGATATCAAATTGTCTTTATTCTGAACGCTACTTGAAAAATCGCTACACTGCCCCAAGCAGGCTAGAACACAGGAACATTGAGCTACGGAATGTGAGCACAGAGTTGCTGTACAGCAGGACATTTTCGGACAGAATATAATTATTTTCGTACGATTTCGTACACGGCCTCTTTTGTACTAAAATTAATTCCGCACCAAAATTTGTTGATGTGAAATTATGTACACTATACATGCGTACTGCATGCAAACACGTGCATTTAACATGCAACACTGTACGAAAATAATATCCGTACGAAAGGTTGAAATTCGGCTTTATCCGAAAATGTACGCGTCCGACTATTTTCTCTCATACAGTATACACTGTCGAGGTAAGAAAGAGAGGGTCTGCAATAATAACAAACAGGCTGTTACGACTGACACAAGCGCACAGTCTCACCTTTCGCTCAAGAGAAGACACTTGCCGACAGAGTGTGCTCACAATTGATTTCATTTCCTGGAAAGCGGGCATTATGTAAGATACATGCTGCAGCGCAAACTCTTCATTGTGTCTTGCTAATTCAC